TACATGCTACAGATGGGAGAATCAGTGACAACTCCCAAGAGAAGGGTCGAAAATGGTGTTTATCTTCGGCAAATACCCCAGTCCCGTGGTCTGCAGGAAAACTATTAACAAATGAAGCAGCACTAGTCGTATACCGTCTAAAAAGATTGCTACGGAACAAACTACCGTTCCTGCATAACGATATCAAATATGTGAACTCGCGATAACTCCTCCACCAATCCAGTAGTTCGATAGAATCCAGGTAGGTATGGCTGGGCAACACTCAAGTGAGAACAAAGTGTCAAGGAGGAATCGACGCGAAAGCCACACCCATGGAACCACGTTAAATATTGCCCCTTGTTGTGACTGATTTGAGGACAGTGTTCCTGCAACTAGCTATGGACACACATGTTGGCTAGCACATTTCTCCGTCCCCGAATCAGTTCCCAAACAGAAAGAAACGCCAGACTCAGTGGAATTGCCAAGATGCGTTGGTAACGATGCGGTCAACTATCTCCTCAGCTGTATCGAAATTCAATGACAGGAACGAAGGAGTTGTGGGTGTCTCCATCACAGCACCGGCAACGGGAGGTTGACCAAGGGGGGGGCACTGGGACGACGCTCAAAAGAGGAGTAGGATTTGTAATACGTTGGCTATTTGTTTAACTCACTGTCACGAGGCGCTACGCAGCCACAAATCTATTTATCAGTCGAATCACACACTTTGACTTAAAGCGTGCGTAAGACAAACGGAAGTAGGAGGTACATAGACAACGTATACATAACTTATGCTAATTGGTCATGGTTTTGATGGCAAAGCTACTAAGAGGTGGACAATGCCATATTTTTGAGATTTCGGAACCAAGCCTCCGCGAAATGCAAACGAATCATTTGTCTCACGTCACTGAAACTTCCGAACGACAATCGGTGGCTGAAACGAGTGACGGTGTCAGCCATGACATTAAAACGCAATAAAGTATGCGCAAAATTAGTGCACTAATCAAGTTGCATTTTTTTTCAGTTTGGCTCGAGGAGAACCACTATGGTAGGCTGACTGTCTGAAGATGCATTGTTAGGATATTGTGCATACGCCCACAGACATCCAAACATCCCTCGGTAATCAAACTTCGATATGATAGTACGGAGAAGGAACAATTTTAGTACAAATGGACCACAATCATACTGTTCATGGACATAGGTAAAAAGCGACGCGTAGAACGAAATGGAACTCACTTAGGGAAGTCAGGGAGACTGGCACAAACCGAATCCCAAACCAAATCAAGGTGTTGAAGCAACTGAGTCTGACTGAAGACTAGGCTACCCGGCTGAGCGACGCGTCCATTGTTGAGTACGGCCAGACGTGAAAGACCACTGCCCGGAGTTGACGGCTCACAGCCACTGGCCGGCATCCGCTTCCTGGCACAGTAGTCCTGAATTATCCGAGCCGCTGGCGTCGATGTACCTTGACCGTTGGGGGATAGAAGTGTACCTGATGAGAGACTAGAGGGTAACAACTTGTCCGGATCTACTTCCCACGTCTCAGGGCAGAATAGGACCCGCTGGATGTAGCGATACAATAGATTGTGGAGGTACTAAACAAAAAATAGTCACCAGGACGTCAACATGCAACAGAGTTGAGAATAAGCGAATGTTCTTTTACTGAGACCTAAAAACCAGGCAAATTGATTGCGTCTTCGTAAGATACTAAGATATACTTTTCTATCGGTTTCAAATCAACGTTAGCAAATTCGAAGCAAGGAGGCAATTACAATGGAAAAAGATACTAGTTTGAATTAAAATGCACTTTTTTAGTAAAGCGATTTCACCAAGATGGCGCAATCACGTCTTTGTTTTCAGTAAACCTGGAGCCGTCTAAACAAGTTCGGCATTCTATGGCCTAATCTACGTGCCCAGAAAATGTGGCCAAAAACGACAGACCACCACCGATTTGTTTGAGAATGCAGTGCAACCAATGTTATTTCGAGGGCAAGACGTTTGTCATACCGTCCTGCTTTGGTTGCTAGCACTACTTCTGTGGACTGAGCTTCTCACAGAACAAAGTACTAAAATTACGTCCACACTGACAATACAACTTTGTTTAATGGGAATCGTCCTTTTTTTTCCCATTGGTGCAAATTCAAATACGCTGATGTCAAACTGCCTGATAACCTACTTACCAGTGTAAGTGATAAATTGTATAATTTGTCTTTTAATAGCTTAAATGAGCAAATTTAGTAGTGATTTTCCAATTGTGTAACTAGAACTACGCTGTAAGTTTCAAAATTTTACCCCAATAAGACAAAATGCGGAATTTTTGTCGTTAAAACGACTGTCGGTCCTGGAAATGGTAGCCAGATGTGAGGAAATTTAGTTTAACAAGGGAACAGAGCTGATCATATGATGCAGAATTTTTCTCATTCCAGCAACGCTACCGGAATAGTTGCTAGGCGAAGTAAAATATTCCAGCAATAAATGAAGAGCTTAGGGATAAAAGTATTTCTTGAGCAAGGAAGCTATCTGTTCAACGACAGTCAGCACGATTATGTGCAAGAGGAATTGAATATTCTCACTGCATAAATTGCACTTCATATTCCAGATGACAATGGCACGAAAACCGAAGCTGTATAGAGGTTCAAGGATTAATTTCGCACAGTACCTGCGTCCGTATCAATGCCATTAACCCATCTGAAGAGCAAAGATTATTTCAGAAAATCAAATCACGACGGCACTTACATCTTTGCCTACAAGTTTGATGTAACTTTCCACAGCTTTGGTGGCCATTGTATTCGACCGAAAGGTCATCGACTCATTTTCTGAAAAGTAACAGACTTTTGGCTACAAAACGGGCGTGGGAGCGTATCGAGATGTGCATACAGTAAAGCCAAGGCAAATTGCAATTTCTTAGTCTTGACAAAAAAATTGATAGTATTTACTAGTAAAAAATGCGTATTTAGTGTTCGGGTAGTTACAATGAGTAATGAGTCACTCTTCATTAAATGTGGTTTTTATACCAAAAAAGTGATTCAATATTTACTGCTAAAATGCTTATATGATGGGATTCAGATTAAAATTCGAATTTGACTTGTTTAAATACTTCACATTGCCCAGAGGTCACTGTGATCAAAACTTGTGCCCAAATAATCATTACATCACCGCTGTACCAAATCATTGCTTCGAGTTAAAATTACGCAAAGAACGTATCTGGTAAGCTATTGTACCTATAAATGTGATACCTGAATCTTTACTTGAGCTTGGGAACGTCAAGGAGTGTGCTACCTATTTACCGCTGCTTGTGAACCAATGCACCAATTTGGTAAATTGTAAGGAAAAATCAGTGATCTTTGACAGGGTTATCAAAGTCGACCAGACTCTTGCAAATGCTTTGGACTTTGTAGCACACTACAGACCAAAATACAGAAAGCACACACCATTATGGACGTTGAATGATATTAGGCAGCGACTCCATCATCTAGATTCGATTGATTTCTATCAAAGCTCATCAAAAGCAGTAGTTTGAGATAGAAAAATTCTTTATTCAAGTGATTAGATCTGGGAACAAAATGTTACAGTCGGTAGATAATACATGGACTACGATCTGATGGCTAGATTTATTGAAGTGATGCCCAAGTAAACTTCGGGAGAGAGGAATTTTGAATTAATGCACCATAAAGCCAGCATCGATGTCAAGGTTTTGGAAATCTGGTTTTTCTGCACCAAAATCGAAACTTCTAGAAGAAACTGTACTCGATGCTCTTTGATGGATGAACTCCATGTGCTAATTCCCCTCTTGATCCCAAGATCATCCAAGAGATATAAATACACGGGATACGACCATGACCCTATTAAATCTGCTGTATTCCGGGCTGTGCCCCTAAATAAGGCAATGAGTACCTCTGCTTTAGAGGGTTTGTTCCCTTGTGTCTCAACTGGGATAGGAATTGGCCCGGCGATTGGTCAATTACGCTAGGTCAATAATTCAGCCCCATACACAAAAACCTGGGAAGCAACCACGGCCTAAGCAGAAGTCACAAACTCTTCACCTATACTGATTATGGTGTACATTTTTGGTGCAATATATGAATCAGTGGGGCCTTTTAATACTAGGAAACCGACTGGGGATGATTCTGCATAGTTTAGATAATAATCAGAAAAATTACGGTGACTAAAGTACCATAATTTGTCAAATCAGCGCCGAGCCGGAGCCTATGGCGTTTGTTGCTAGAGGTAAGTCTTAATAATGGGAATAAATTAGAGCTGTGAAACGGTTGCGGTTTCGAGAGAGTGGTGTGCTAATTATTGAGAGCTTAGAACCTAAGGCAAAGCTAATCGAAAGTCAAAACAGGGTCTTTGGTTTTGAGCAAGAATGTATGTCCACTAAGCAGGAATAGTAATATAATACATATTTTACTCCATTCTAATGAACCCATAGGACAGAGGCAATATTGCCTACGGGATGAGGACAGTTTCGTTAGAACTAATTTATACTCATAAGTAATCGACGGCTTAATCGGAATCAGAGTTGTTTTTTTCAACTAGGCATTCGGAGTCCGAAACTGATTAAAATCCTTACAATTGCGTAGTATTCGTAAAGGAGTAACAAACAGTTTGTTGGAGAGAACTGGAGGAGTTTTCGCTGAAATGCTTCTACTAGTTAATCAGCAATATGGTATTTGATAGAGACTGACCAAAGATTTCAGTTTGTCATGTCAATTTTCAAATCGGCATTGAATTGATTTGAACAGGCATTCAACTTCTTGGACATTTGTTTAATGGGGGGTTGGATTAGTTTATAACTGGGATTCAAGTAAGTCATTACGATAAACTGGATGCGGAGCCGAGTACTCACAACCGCAGTTATTAATGCACAAGCTGTCTCACCAAGACCGGAGACCTCTCGAACCACAAGTTCCGTCAGAAAGGCAGCAGCTGTTCCGCCACGTTCGTGAAGGTTTACAAAGCAGGAAGCAACTTCCTCTTTCAGTTTTAACGGAATCAAGTGCTCAAACCATTCAATAAACTCGAGTCCACTCTCACGAACGAGCTGAAAAATGCAAAAATCAAAGGTTACGACATTATTTTCTATTCACTGTCGTATTATAGTGTTGCATGGTATTAGCACATAATATGGCAATGATTTAACAGGAGATCACCTAAATTCAACGGTCAATGATGTGAAGGTTAGTTGTGCAAGTAACTGATTATGCAACATTTTGACTAGTTCCCCTGGTGAAGAATAAAAGCACACGAAGGCAGAAACACAGTAATAAATCCTAGTCAGGAAAACTGCATATCGAGCTTGATGTTTGGAGACAGTATGAGCTAATTTTTCGTGAACGAATAGTTCTCTGCCACCACACCCGTAAATTTAGGACAAAAAAGTTGCAATTCAGATACCATTTCAAATCTGCTAAACCAAAAATTTCTTTCCCTTATTAGATGCCTACATGAATCCTAGGTTAGACAAAAAAGCTCTCAACAAGGCTTACTCCCTCCAATAACGATAAGGCCTACAGTGGGCAGAAAGTTAAGTTTTCTTCAATGCTAAAAAAATGACACAAGAGGACTGTAAATCACTCCAATCCAAAAATATATAAAATCAAAAAGAATTTGAACTGGATAGAATACTGTCACACCCTTTAGAAATTGGTAGCGTAGAGTCGAACATTTCGGATGTAAGCTTTCATATTTTTCGGTTTTTAATTATCTTGAAATTTATGCATTGGATCATAAACTCCTAGTTCGCTAGTAGGTAGTAAACTCACGCTGCGAGATATTAGTGTAGGAAATTTTTTAGTTAAATTATTTTCCAAATAGAGTCCAAGTTTGAGAAGAAATGCATACATTTATCATGCCATAAACCATGCCGAAACATTATTTAAAGCGGGAAATCACATGACGCTTCGAATGCACACCAGTCTGGGGTAACTTTAAGCACCCAGTTTCGTCAGTAAAAATACTGTGCTAGCGAAAAAAGCCCCAGTGAAATATCGAAGTAGTGCATCAGAGGCCCACTTTGTATGAAACCAATGACTAGAAAGTCAGATGGGATAGGAAACTGGGGAAGGGAGGAATGTTTGACCCCGAGTATTCACATAACCACCCGGTTACGCATAGCCGCGTGGCCAATGTAGAACAGGCTCCTATGGCACTGGAATGCAAATGGCTCCCTGCATTTCGAACCAAAGAGGAAAACGAAGTACACTTTCTGGCAGCCACGATGGCTTGTTATAAAAAATACCTCCCGCTCCTGTACATCGAATAAACAGTAAGTCGAAAGTTTATCGGTGCGGCTGAAATTTGTGCAGGAATCAGAAAACAAAACATTTCAAACACTTTTTCAGCTTACCCTACTTTTAGCTACAACCAATAGCTCGTCTTGTGCCATCGGATAACCGTAATATTGCACATTTAATAATCCTAAAAGCCGAAAATTACTAAGTCGTTCGCTGTAGCAGATGCACACAAATATGCAGGGCCTCCGAACTAGTCAGCATGACTCAAATTACACCACTAGTGACTGGAGTCAAGAGCAGATGGTAAAAAACAACAGCAAGAGTAGTGGTTCACAAGGCAGAAATTCTGCCTGTTCACACACTCGAAGTTAGTCAAGGGAGACGCAGCAGTGCTAGAGTACTTCAAGTGTATGCCAATGAAACCGTCAACAATTTTATACCATAACATGAATCGTCGCTCAATTAGTGAGTTTAGTGTTTCAGTGGAAAACTAGACATTCACTTCGAAGGAGGGCAAGTTAATGAAGGTGGATCTGTTTTGGGAATAAGCATTACATGCACCAAAGCAAGACCATTTATGTTCGCAGCGGCGACAGCTTGTCTACCAAAACATCTTAAAAGTTATGTCGTTTTTACTATAGAATTCCTCATAAGCTCAAAGGATACACAGGCCCAAGTGTCATAACTCGGCGTTGCCAGTCTCATCCGCCTGCTAGCCTGGGAGGGCCAGCCGGCCTGGACAGGCACGCACATGCCCCAGGCGCGGTGAATCATCCACGCATACACGCGGGTGAAGACGAAGAGATTCACCCATGGCAGTGGACACAGAACGATTCAGTGAACTGTCGAGTTGGAGAAGACGGGTGATAAGATTGTGTCTCTCATGAGGTCGGAGAGCAGAGGACAGTGGGATCAGCAAAATATTTCACAAACACCAGGGATAGGCAGTGGATGGAAATTAAACTGGGAGAGATAATAACAAATAGGGCTGCGGTTTCTAGTGCATTCCCTAATTTAATAGACACACATCGTTTCAGGATTAAATGCGTCCAATGTTTACCAGTATCTAAGACTGGTAAATCCATCGAGTTAACCTTCGGTGTGAACGTTCTTGGCAGGCGGGAGAGATGTCGGTCGAATGAAACATGTACAACCATTATGCGACATGACTGTATGCTGACCAACCGTCTTGTACAAATTTAAGATTTCTATTGTTTCTCAAGAGATAAACCAAGGATGCGCCAAATGTTCCGACCAATTTTAATCAAATCTAAACTAAATTGAAATAAAAGTTGATGCACATCCGACTGCAGTTACCATTCACATAATCCTCTATGGTTGGAACCTTGACGATAATACATACTTAATCAGCCTATTCTATTATGAACTATGTGTTGTACAGATATAGTTCGGAATGAGTGGTTGGCATTTACTGTACGTTTGGTAATCAGACTAACTTTGTGGTAAAGCTACAGATAATCAGTGTAAAGTACCATTTTAAAGAGTGGCAAATGGATAACGAAGCCAGTGAGATAGTCCTTCTACTGGCCTTATGTGCTAAGGAAAAAACCACCAAACACACGTACAACTTCGCTGAGGTGTTTTTTCTTAAGAAGTACAAAACTTTGCTGCATTCTAGCAAACGTTGGGAAAAAACACGAGCTTATGTAGTGGCTTTTGAATGCATTCATCGCAAAACCGGGCTGCGTATATACCACGCGTTTTGGGGCGACGCTTGTCTGCTTTCATGTCGAATATTTAATGGCTTAGTAATAACCATGAGAATTCATGCTTCAGTAAAAGTGATGTGTAGATATGGCAGCGTTATTCTTTGACCATAAATTGAACGTGGGTGGGTGAACATACCGTGTGGAGAGGAAGGTAGGCGCTGATAGGGAGAACATCGACGGATTTATATCTAACGGAGACACGTAACTGGACGCCAGTGCCCCCGGTCACATTGTTGGCGCTCGCGGAGGAAATAAAGTTTGATGAGGTGGTACTACTACTGCTACTGACTCCGAGGCCACTGCTGGTGATTTCACCAGGACTGGGGAGGGTCGGATACATGGAATCCGCATTTGCAGGCGGCTGCAGGGTGAGCCACGTCTGCGCGGGGTTTCGCGTGCACACCTTTGCCACAGGAAGGGTAACGAAACCTAGGAGCACAGGCAATGTGGCTATACAAACATTCATATTTTATTTACTCAACATTAGCCCTGGGATGAGACAATGTACGCGGAATTCGGAATTACAATTCTTGTCATGGTGATGTCAAAGTAACACTGATTGGGTGTCACGGCTTCATTGCATAATGGTGCTGGAATATGTGCCATTGGTCAGCTCGGAACCTCCGCAAATAAACGAACCGCTTTGATCCAGGAAGACAGCCAAGCGACTATTTTAAAAGGTCAATGCAACCGAAAGGTCGAATGGTAATCTTAGTAATTAAAGCTAAAAACGAATAGAGGGCAAATAACGTTAGATGTTTTAGGTAAATTAGTTTGAAAATAGAAACGCACACGTGTCTCTACTTCCGCAAATATCAAACTAAAAGAAATAAAGCATAAAGGCTTTAAAAATTCAATCCTACAATTAAATGGCATAAATATGTGCCATCTCTATAAAGGAAATTGGAGTGAAAGACATTGAAAGTTGAAACAAAAGAATTTTTGAACCAATTTTTTCGATTAACCACCAAGCAAAGAAGTAGTATGCTGGGTTGAGGGAAAAGTGGCCTTAATCACCCCTATACTAAGTGAAGATAGGCGAAATGGAAAAATGTGGGAGAGAATAGGAGAATGGGAATTGTGACCCCTAGGGCATAAGATGAGCAGTACATGGGCCTCGCATGTTACACCAAGAAGCCCAGCAATGGTCAAATCGTGCACTTTGACCCTATTTCAAAACTGGTAAATAGGAACTGAAACCATTTATTAACAGTTAACAGTTGGTAGTTTCGAAAGCCAACAAAGTTGTGCTGCTAAAAAATTACATGGGAAGCCTCAACGCCTTCCTTCCGATTTCAGGCTTGTAGAACTTCTGATTAAGGTCCAATGAGTTGGGTGAACTATTAGCCAAAAAGTAGTGTTACTCCACCAATCTTTATACAAATTTATCAGTGAAAATTTGACTCTTTTTTCTCAGATGGCTGAAGTAAGATAGAATCTCATGAAATTGGTACAATAACTAAGTACATGAGCGAATGTTGTAAACCGTTATTTCCCTTGATCCAAAAGGCAATTAACTGTTTTAAGTAGGCGATTGTCGGACTGCACACTTTCTTCAAGCATCAGGCACTAAAAGAAAAATTTCCCAAAGTTCTGTCCGTGTATGAAAATCAAGAGTTATTTATTAGTAGGAAACTGCATAAGGGATGCTGGGTCACTAGACGAAGCGCTATGAGATTCTCTCCGATTGGGATCTGATTCAATCATTTGTAAAACTATCAGGCGATGATTTCTTAAGGAAGAAATGCAAATGAAATATGTTGAAAAACAGCACTCGATTGTGAAAAACTTATCGAACAAACGAATCACAGTTCATGATAGGTAGAAATTTTGTCAAATATCGTATATTCAAGGGATTGAAATCTGTTACACTCAAAGTACTAAATTTATGCCGTTTAAATTGACGCTAAAAAATTTAAGGACGTAAGGGAATAAAATTATACGGTAATTTGCATAAAACTATCCTTAAATTGCTCGCTTCATGAATTCACTCAGTAGGCTTCATTAAAAATACTAACATTCAGGAATAAGAAAAATTGTTGAGATTTCGCTATGATCCGTATTTTCGTCCTGTCGTGGCAACGGAAAGCCTATTGCTAAGGGGACCTTTAAATATTACCAGCGAAAAAATTAACGCAGCTCCCAATTTCAGGGAGGCAGAGGGCACCAAAGCCTAAAGCTTAACTAACTCCACACTCCCCCTTCACGCAATTGCTTTTAATAGGAAAATAAAAGCAGGTGTCGTTCAAAGGAAGATGGCATTTTCAGAACACAAGTAGCTACATAAAAAGAATGGCTAAAATACCTCCGCCCAACAGGACGATAGGCAAGCTACTTTGCATCGTCAGTAAGGCAGTGTGGGCACACATTCAAGAGTGCGATTTACTCCACCCAATAGACCTGCCTGACCGGTGAGACGGAAAACCTAGGATACCTCATTTTCCAAATAATTGAGTCGTGTATTAACGCATTGTACCAGTTATGCTGCACCCTTTTATCGCCCTAAAAATTGAGATTACCAAAACATCATCCCACTTTCAATGTAAGCAGATGTGTAAACTAAAACTAGCATAGATCAAATCGAGCATAACGATTGTTATTGTTTATTTTGAATTAACATTAATATTAGATGTAGGTTAAATTCCAAGACCTTGGGACTCATTTTGAAGTCCAAATGTCCACTTTGCGGTCTAAGTTTTGCTCATTTGCCTAACAGCTTCGGTATACTGATTGCATTATTCGCATGAAAGCACAATGGTCTTTGAGTTGGAGTAATTGTAATATGGAAATAGTTTTCAACAGATACAGACCAAAATATTATGGAACTGGAAGAAAACGGAAAACCGGGGGTAAAACGATTATTGAATAGAGAAATTTTGAAGAAGATAACATATAAGCCGAAAAGTGATGCCCCGGCTATCACGAAAGGGGGATTCCATAGACATAACATGTGAAAGTATGGAGTTCAAAAGGGGAACCAGTTAGACTACACATCCACGCAAAACGCAAAAGAAGGAGATAGCTTGAATATTGGCCAAGTAAATCACACTAAACTTATAGTAATACGTTGGTTTTTTTACTAACTCTAGGTTTTGGTAAAGGGGCCACAGAGGTGCTATGCTATTGTACCTTCGCCGGGTGGGTTGGCCTTCGGACCGTGCCAGTAGTCTCAAACCCTACTGATGTCGGCAATACATAGGCTGTCCGAGTATTATGTCTTACTTCGTCTTCAGGAAAGTCTCGACTCTCTACATCATTCTGTGAGAACCACGAAACCCGAATTAAGAGGAAGCACAGTTCATTATTTTGACCTGTTTTGATTCGTGAAATAAGAACAAAATGTGCTAGGGGAATTCATTTTTGACTAATGGAGGACATGCATAATTAAATACTGTTTTAAAAAGTATAACTCGGGAAGCTTTTATCGAAATATAAAATCGGAGATACGAACACGTTTTCCACTCAACATAAACTAACCACCCTCATACCTCGAGATTGTAATATCTCACCCCAATGTCGATAGCAGTGCCTCTGCCAGAAAATGACGCATCCGCTAAGTTATTAGAATATAATATAGTAACGATTTTAGTTAATATAATTCTTACCCGCCCACGCTTTCAAGTTTTCCACTATCTTAACTAACAGAAGAACTTAAAGAGCATTCCATGTGCCCTACGAACAAAAGTAGCTTGCCGTGTTCCGCATAACAGATCTACAGGTACCGGAAATCATGGTTCTCGAGATGCGATCTATGAAATAATAAATCAGATCTTGAAGTGCTTGATACTGAATTGCATTCCCCAAATCACAAACACAATTTTAGGGAATGTTCGCGTTCGTTATGCTTAGTATTGAGTTAAATTTACATGATGCACCACCGCGGTAATAAGCCTCCTCTTACTTTTGCAACATTGTAGTCATTTTGAAGGTGTTGAAGCATTTATGGATCCAGTTAATTTATTCATCCCTCCGGACTATACACAAATGGCATAAGTCTAAATCCAAACCTCTTGAGTTGGAAAGTTCATGTAATAAATGCTATGAGCTTAGGGTACCGAATCACTTACTCTTGTAAGGCACCATATTTATGACAAGTGTCAGGATCTTGACCGAAAGATTCGCTCTTTCAGAGTTGAATAAAGCGTCACGACAAAATGAAAAAGTTGCAGGATACACTACTTTTCCATAATAAACGACTGTCGGTAGCATGAGTGCATATGAATAAAAACCCCTAAATTCTCAGTTAAGCGATATAAGTTCGTTGTTTTAACTTTCTTCAAGTACATGCGCCCTTCCGTTGGAACTGTGGGTGCTCGCAAGAGGAATGATAAGTCCCAAAGTAATGAGCAGCACCTACCGATGAGACGGTTTTGGGACTTTTTGGAAGCCTTTTTGCTGTTTGATCGGGCAAGTAGTCCGCTCCTACCATCCTTTGATCCACCCTCCGCTTCACGATAGAGACTGACCGTGAGAATTGAAACGTCTGGGAGGTTGCTGTAACAAGAAATAAAGGCATACGCATGCACAAAATATCACGTTTGGATAGCTTGGAGACTGTTCAAAGAAGGCCTTCGGCAAAATATCCACCTGTTCGTTACAATGGGCGTAGCTACCCAAGTTAACAGAGGAGCACTTCCTCGACATTGCTGACATCATTTGCTATTAATTATTTCTAAAGAACTTTAATTCACGTAAGCAAAACACGCGACAAACGTAAACAATGGTAAAAAACTGTATTATTTAAATAGCCTTTAGTAACTTCACGAAAACCCGGTTTCTTTGTGGCAATCAACTAGGGTGTAAGGTAAATACAAGCAGAGGTATATCAAATTAAATCACGTTGAGATTAACAGTCAGAAGCAAGATTTTGAGTATTAACTCTTGTAACTAATATGCTTATGCTTCTACGCAATGATACTAATTGTGAATGTTTTAGAATCGTGAAGAGAAATAATGTAGTGAAGACTAAAAGAAGATAATCGTTGCTTCTGGTCAACTTTAGAATTCGACGCGATTTATGATGATAAATCGAGAAACTGGGTTATTTCGAATCCCAACACGCATTGCGGTGCACTTCCAGTGCACAAAATTGACATCCTGACAATGTTCAGAGAAACGAAAACTTGTAATTATTATTTTGCTTAGCTTAAAAATGTCTGTCAAGCAGCTTCACAGCCCAAAACTGAAATACAGCAAATTCTGTCAAAATGGAAGACATTTAGGTGACAGCTCAAGTATTTTCAAAATCTTTTAACTGTACACCAAACGGTTGCTTGATTAATTTTAATGCTCAATTCTTTTTCGATCGACTGAATTTGTTTTGTCATCATTTATAACGAGCTATTACATGAGGCTTATCCTAAGATGGAAAGTATTACCAAAAAAGGCTAAAATCTGGGAAATTGTCCATGAAGCGTTCAATTGTAAGGAGTAGTAGCGCCTCGGCAAAACGCGGAATCAGAGCACCGCAGGGCATGGGACAACAAATACGCACCAAGAATCTTGAAGATCACGGCACGTCTGGTGGTTTGACCTGGCATGAAATACGCTATAGTCGTGCAGAGGCATTGTGAAGAGGGCGAATTCAAACTGAATGTAGTCTGGATGGTCCGCAGACAATTTAGCAGTTTGCTCGTACTTTTAAGCATTGACAAGGACAGCCTGAATGTTCACACAGAAGGGTGTACTACATCAACCGAGTGGTTATGGCGGAACTATACATGCAAGCATTATGCCATTTACTTACGGTAAATTGGAAACGCCTTTCCTTCCGACCCTGATAACCTTTGGAAGGAGTACCTTCATTTTCAATGGGTGTAGATTCCACATTCACTGAGTACATTTAGACAGTTTACATGATCTTTAAGGCGGATTTTTGGGGTGTAGGGAAATAAGACGGTCGACAGTCGGAATGAAATGAAGGCCCCAAAAATAGGTTTCAAAATGCCGTGGGCCCTGGACAACGAACAGACGAAATATTAATCGCACCATATGAGAAAAAGTAGCTCTTTGACGACTTGTTTGCGCCATGACATCAACTTTTTCGAAAATGACAAGCAAAGTGACCATATCCTGAAATATTCACCTGGTGGATAGACCCTAAACAGACATTTCAATCAATATGGATAGGCCAAATTGGCTTTCCCTTCTTCCATTTTGATAAGAAACGAGTTGTTTGAAAGATGATAGCTGACTAATAATAAGCTAACCAAAAGGTGCTTCAGGCCTTATAAGGTCCAAGTATTCTACAAAAGAAGACTCACTTGTACGAAACAAAGATGGTAAATGATGCATAAAAGACCACATTTGTTTGGAATTTAAGGATATTTTAGTCAAAGTTGGAAACGAACAGTGAGAACAGTATGCTGGGTAAAAGTGGTGTGACGGCCCCGTAACGGAGGACGGTGCACAAAAATTCAAAAGACGGGAAGTGTCACAAAAAGGATGCAGAAAAAGCCGACACGTTTTCTTACTTAAAAAATGCTTCCGGAGGTAGATATGAAGGTTATTGCCTGCACACAAGTCAACAAGTGTATATTGTTGACAGTTTTAAACGACCACAAAAACAGACTCATTTAAAGGAGTCCAAAAAAACACCCAGCTTGAATGAAAATGTTACTGCATAACTCATAAATGATGCAATACGACGTGGCAAATCACAAAGGTGACTGCAGCCTTTTAAAATAAATGAATTCTTCATAGTTCAAATAGAAGTAAAATTAAAAATGCGGGAGTGATTTCATGAAAAGAGGTCAAACAAATGGTCGGTCAGAAATTGCATAGTTTAAAGTGACAAATAATTCCTGCCCCTGTATTTTTAAGATCCCGCTGGTAAATGCCTATTTCATGCCCACGAAAACACGAGCACAACAGGTAGTTAGTTTGACATAACCTTTAAGGTCTTAACAATAAACAGCTTCAAGGAATCGCTATAAAATAAACCTATTACTAGTGTGTCAAGTGTCCTATGTAGGAGAGCTGCTTTTTGAGTTTGAGTCGCGCCTCATTTACTGCATTGTGTACCACCACCCACTGCAAATAAAAATTCGCCAACCCAAACTTGTTATCAATCAACCGTTTTATGAATAGTTAAGGATTCAAAAAATCAGTTTACGACGTAGTGCCATGCAACCTCTGGGAGGCCCAAACTTTTTTTTCAGATTGAAAACAGGAATATGTTAGGTGGTAGTCAATTTAATTCCATATCACAGCTGTGCTTCATTTGTTCGTTCCAAAATTCAGTCAAAATAATCTCATGCTGTTAAACCTGCCTTGCTGTATAACTGACGGGAATTATTGAGAGATACATTAACGAACCATGTTTAAAGTATTACAGACTCAGCAACAGATTGTTTTAATGTACGGCGAACAAGAAATAATCAAGCTATTCAACACATGCAAACATTATTTATCCGAGCGGCTTTGAAAACCTAGAATCATTTTATTCATGCGAACATCAAAAAAGTTTATTGGTTCGAAATAAGCTCTATGAAAACCTAGTGTCATAGAGGTACTCCTGTTGATTAGAAATTGATCATATTGGAAAGAATCTGAACTAAAGTCGGTAGAAATTCAACAATAGTCCCTTCAACAAGCATCAACCACTTGGGCTAATTATTGTCCAATCCCTGCTGTTGGCACAGAGTGGATAATGCGAAGCAGTACTACTGACATTTAGGGCGGTGCTTTTCTTATTAAACATGCCTTTAGATAAATCAAACACACGGAGCTTCCAGAGGACACAACGTGTTGTACCATGGCGGGAGAATGGGCAACATGGTGTAACCGTTTGGTGTTTGGTGAGAAAAGAAATGTTTTCCACTTTTCGGAATATTTTGGCAACGATTACACCAAACGCCTTCTTTT